ATTTTTAAGGAACAAAATGGTTTAAATGTAATGAATGTTGTCCACTGAAAGTGAATAGAGGAATCATGAGGAGGAACAAGTATTTCTATACTGTTCATAAAAATATCTAGAAATGTAAAAAAAATCTAAGTAGTAAATAAGGGTAATTAGGAGTTAATAATCTTTCTGTTCGGAGATAATAACACATTTCCGTCTTTCCTTTCTAGCTCTATTAGACAAGTAAAACAACGTATCGCACGGTTCTTTCCTTCATTATTGCTGCATTTAAATGTAGAACAGGGTACTCCATTCGACACACGCATTGTAATTAACGTGTTAACTAGCAAAGTATAAGAATACGTATAAAAAAACAATTATTTCATTTAATTTTTATATTAGCCTATTTTTGCAAAGTATAAAAATTCAGTTGGTACATATTGTAGCGTCACGGCTTGGCAGCAGCAAGCCGAGTGCAAGGTAGAGGGCTGGGGGATCTAAAGATAGAACAAAGAAGGGACTTTCCGACAGGAAATGGTCCGCGGGCCAGGCAGCGCCAGGGAAAGGCTTTCCACCGCGCGGGGGTGGGAAGTAGTGACGTAGGAGGTCAGGTGACCTGAACCTATAAAGACGCCGCGGCGAGACGGCGCGAGCGGGTAACGTTTTCTGGTTTCCTCGTGGCTAGACCACAAAAACTTTGTCCGCCCAGGCTGGTGCGGAGTGCCGAGGGCACGTGGTTGTTCGACGAGTTCGGACAGGGTGATGTGTTCTTCAAACACATTCGGGCAGATCGTCAATCTGCCGGGGCACACCAGGTGCCAATTTGCGACGCGGCCTTGCAGGCTGGTTGTAGGCGTCGCCGCAAGGCGCATGTAGGGAGAGGAGGGCTGCAGTGGTAGCTCTGGCAAACCGCCTTAGAGTGAGAGTTGTAAATATGTACATTGTGTAAATAAAACTTGTATATACTCACTCGTGTCTGTTTCCTTGTGGTGTAGAGCACTACACACGACGTTACAATATCAAATAAGTTCCGATACATGTAAAATGTAAGGTTAAAACGTTGATTTGATGTAATTTCACGTTTTATTTAATGACTTGCCCTTGAAATCCTGGGAATATAAAACCACGAGGCTAAGAAATAATACGAATTACCTGTTAAGTCTTTACCCAGCTCCTAATAAACACAATTTCTCAAACATCGGTGTACTATAGTATCGACTATCTATAGTTATACTTAATCTTCACCAAGATTGCTCTGCAGGCGCACGCATCCCCAACTAGCCGAAAAACGGGCTGAGCTCCTCTATGGCTGAGCTGCGCTGCTGTATAAATACGTACACTGTGGGAGAGTTCCCATTTCGGAGAGTTTCCAACTTCTCTCTCCTTTTGGCCAAGTGAGTCAAGTAGTCAAGGATGTAGCGAGTTCATGGTCCCTTTCATCTGAGTTACCTTTGCCTCATGGGTCACGAGTAGTCTAAAGTGTATCTCCATTCATAGCCGCCAAATGCTGATCCTTGGTGAGACCCATGTCAGTGCAGTTGGTTCTCAATATAGCAACACGGTACACGCTGAGGGAAAAGCTCGATAAGCTGGCCAAAAGTCTAAAACCCTATTTATACATACATACTTGTGTCATACCATTTAAAAAAAGAACAGAATTCTGCATTGAATGCTGTTAATTTTGTAAACGTGAGTGTATTATCTGCGTTTTGACATCGTTTCAAAGTTACTTAAAATTCACTTCTCATGGGTGTGATCTCAAAGGCTGTTTGCGAACGCGCACTCTATCGCACATAAGTAATAAGCATACGAATAATGACATTTGGGAAAGTGTATATTTTTCTTGTTATGTATGTATGATGTATGATGTATTATGATGATGTGTGATGTATGGTTACTAATTGCTACTTTATTTGATTTGGTCATGAGCAATTTGTATAAAAATGACAATTGTTTCCTGGAATTTTTAAATTAGTCTATTTTTATTTTATAGGGTAAAGGTTAGGATACCAATGTAGTACTACCACGGCCTTTCATATTTTAAAATGTCAATTAATATATTATTTATAAATATCTGTTACAATTAGCGGCTAATAAAGGTGTAGGAGAACAAACAAAAAAAACACAACTCAAAGTAGACGTTCAGTGGAAGACTCAAACGCAAAGCCTAACTTCACGTTGTCCTGTAAACCTATAATTATATATGAAAAAAAATATGTTATTTGTGAATATTGTAATGTGACGTTCATCATGATCAGAATAAAGTATATAAAAACATAAAGACGGGTCTTTTTAAGACGCAAGTGACCGGTACAATAGAGCTTAGGGGCAAAGACGTTGGGGGCTTCGACGCGCGCAGGCGAGGGCAGGTGCCGGGCCCAGCTGTGGTGCGGAGAACAAAGAGGGCATGACGGATCTATGACCGAAGGGGGTGACGGAAAAGCGCCAACGTACCGCTGTTGGAGTTAGTGACGCCCTTTTGCACGACGCGTTTTGCCCGCTAATCAATCAGACCAAACAAAGAGCGAACACTGAGACGACTACTGAAAATTGAAGTGATGGGCGTAAATAGGGGCACGGATGTAGGTGGGGCTTGCCCACTGCCACGCTTGTCTACAATTTGAGCTAAATGGCTGGAGAGACGTAGCGGATTCTTCTCTGCGTGCGTGACAAAGCAATAAATCATCTCCTCTTAGGGAAATTTTCACTCAACGACTCGTTTACTTCCGCCCACTTGCGACTTCCAACGACAATGTTGGGGGGCGAACAAAGATCAATTTGACCTCCTTTTACTGAACCAATCACGAAAAAGATAGCCGAGCTCACTGGTAGCTACGCGGATCATTGGTGGATATAGGACAAGGTGAGGATGTTTTTCGAAAAGAGGGAGTGGGAAGCGAAACAAGCAATACGCATACTAACAAAACGTTCCATTTAAATTAATTTTGCATTGTGGTAGCTCTGGCTTATGAGTAATCACGTTCACAGACAGGACGAGCTAGGCGAGGCCTGACTTTGAAGCAGCGGGCCCCAGCTAGCTAGAGTTCGGAGCATATCTGCTGTGGTTTCTCCCCGATCGCCGCCTGCCTCTGGACCAGTGAAGTAGATGCGCGGGCAACACCCAGGCCCAGCGAAGGTGTCAGAGCTGGGTTTAGAGCACTGCAGAAGCAATAGGCCGCCGCACAGATCGCAGTGGATTGTACAGTGGGTGCAATATCATGTGACATACGGTTCACTATAAATTTCAAAATTCATCAAATTCTCATTTTTGCTTACTCTAGCAGCTCTGGGTAGCTGTAGTTTAATTCACGCCACTGTTAAAATGTGGGATTGTCTTGCCAGGGTGTGGGGCAAGTTGTCCTAGCTGCCCCTGGTCGTACATCGTCGCGATGTTTGGTGCTATAATATAACCTTCATTGAGGGTACAGGTAAGTACCATAAGAATTTACTAAAATGAAGGATTGTCTTGAAAAACAAAGGAGATTTCAGGTTTCAAAATTCATAATAAGAAATTGCCATTTAACAGTTACCATAAAGTTTGGAACAATGTCAGAAATGTGGTGGTAAAATAGGTAGTGATGAAGTTATGAATATACTGATTTTTCCAACAGAACTACCTTCTTATCAAGACATTTATTCCTAAAAGAAGGGACACGCACATCAAAATTATTTAAATATGGCCGAGAATATATGCCTTTTCCTTCATGCTTTTAGTTGGATGTGATACATTCTCCTAGAATAGACAATAGAAGAAAATATTCTGCAGTGGAAACAAAGTAAATTGTCTTAAATGTTTTGTGTAATCGGACAGAAACTACAACAGAATATACTGCTAAAGCAGATTGAATCTTTTTTCGATTTGTACGCTAAAGAGATGATGAACAGCAACACTGGGCGATCTCCGTTAGCAGGTACTTTTAAAGACGATAAAACCTAAGTTTTGACTTGCCATAAATCCAAATGTGATACAATCCGCTAACATGGATGTCGCACCAACCATAATGTCAAGTTTGGGAATGAAAACTATTCCTTCGGATTTGTGCGGTCGTCTAGTACATACGTGCCTAATTAAAATAATTTGAGATGCACCGTACGAACACCAACTTTCATATAATCAAATGGCATGCTAAGGCAAATATACTTGTGTTTTTATTTCTTGGCGCGTGAGGGTATATCTTCACGATGGAATACCTCACAGCAATCCGTATCTTTCTAGATCGTGCTGCTAGATGTTGCATGATGGCAACCGTATCGAGCAGTGCTGGCGATCATGCGACATCTAGCGGCACGACCGAGAAAGACTACATCGTGAAGACGCGCCAAGAAATAAAAACACAAGTATACCTGCAGAAATTCTTGACTGTAGTACACTCTTGGCAAACATAGTTCTAAGCAGGCATATGACAATTTCCCTGAAACTGACAAGGCTGGGAACAGCATTTCATTTATCGTTCAGAATTGCACCCAAGAGGAAGCTGTCGAAACCTGTTCTTATTATATTGAAGACAGTAATTAATTTAATATGGCTCTTGAAAAGAAAAGAAAATAACACATCAAAAACGTTTCTTACAATGGACTTCATCCCCTAATTTCCGATAACGAAAGCAATAACCGGCTAATTCTAGAATTAGAAAGAATCCCACCTCATCCACATCGCACTGCATAGGCAATGCACGTATTCGCCACTAACCTTTTATCGAGTGAAAATTCGGCGTTGCCCGGATGTTTATTTATCACAATCATCTACTAAGTAGTTATGTCCATCACGGTCATTTGCGCCCGCTCACAGCACATTATGAACGGAATGTACGTTGCTGGCAATGCGTTTGTTTGTAAATATCACTCCTTTCTCACCGACCCATCTAGGGGTGTCTTACCCTCAATGTATTTTTTCCCCATGGCCAGTAATAAAGTGTACCATCTCTAAAGAGATGTTCAGAATGACGTCACGTTTGGCGGGAAAGTGTTGGGGTGACATCCTCTGCTGTGCGCGTAAGCAATTCAGAGAACTAGTAAATTTTTGGCTGTTTTATGCGGTGGTCGGGGTTTGTGTTTCATATCACGTTTGTTATTTACATAGATAATAGTTTTTTTCGGATTGTTTATCTGCATCATAAATTTAATTTAAAGATGCACCATTCTACCAGGTATAAATCAAGTCACTATCTTTTCATTTTGAAAATGGTTCAAAGTAAATATTATGATAACCTTTGCGTTGATGCTAAGGTGCTAATATAATATATGAAAAGCAATGTTTGTTTGTTCGTACTTAATGCGTTGCCATACCGTTCATTCGATTACGATAAAACTTTGTCAACTTATTGCTTGCACTTATGGGAATAATATAGGCTTGATGCAATGGGAATGTGCATATGCCTGCACACATAGATGCGCGTTGATAATGATTTTATGCTGCCTCAAGCGCTCTTGAACACGGCACTCTACGCAACAGCTCTCTACGCAACCGCCGTGCCCTGAAGTATGAGTATTAAGAGCGTCTTTATTGCATATTTTGCCTTGCTATTATGAAATTTCGCTCGGGAGAGACAGATACACAGAGAGGCAGGAACAGTGGGAGACAGAGACGCAGAAAGGGAAACAGAGAGAGTGAAAGAGACATACGGAGACAGGGACGGGGAACATCAAGGTATGCGTTTAAAATATTACATGTGCTATTTCAAAAGATTTTAATGTTAGCGTTTTTCATCAAACGTGCTTCAATATCTTTTGCTTACCAAGTTTTCTCTTTCCTCAGCCAACGTATTAATTGGTCTCATTACAGTTTATGAATAATACGGATATCAAATCTTATTTTTTACTTTGAAATTCAAGTAATTTCCAAAAACCCACTCATTCAGGGTCGGACCAGCCGCCAACTCGTGACACACCTCTCTTGCACCGCGCCCCGCTCTTCTATAAAATTTCGAAAGGTAACTCATTTTTATCTTATGCCCCATTTTTTAGAGATGTGTTATTTATCAAATAATTTTATAAAATGTAGAATAAACATTTAAACCCCCATTCTCGTGGATTACTAAAGCTAAATTAAATATTGTTATACTGTGATATTAATACAAATAGTCCGCTTGGATGATTATTTATTCGTTGGTACTCATTTATGCATACTCCGAATTAGTCGGATCGAGGCCTTTGCAAAGTCAAAGTTACATCTGTATTGGGCGATTACGTTTTCCCGTTTCTTTTTCTTTAACTTAATAATAGGACTGTTATTTGGTGTTCTCCACAAATACAGCATTTATCTTATTGAACTGTTTTGGAAATATATTGTTGGTACATTGTGGAAATGTGTTCAGTTGACGGTGGGAACAAACTGACTTCCGTTCGCAAATCACATATGTGTATGTGTTGTTTTCAGTGACAGCTGTGTATTTGTAAATAAACATAACACATTTGTGTTACGAGTTCTAATGGTTGTATTCTGGATTAGACCTGTATGTGAAAAGGTTCAAGAAAGTTAATGTGTGAACGTATATGGCATTAGGATCATTTGTTTGGATGGTGAATAAAGTGTTTTTGTGACAAGTGAGTCAATACGGAACTGAGAACCTTTTGGAAAATGAGGTTTGTAATACGAGACCATAAGTGACATCTCCTGTTTCACATTCAACGAGAATATATATATTTTATCCTGCTATTAAGTTTTGTGAAATCAGTATTAAGCAGGTGCAATGCATTACTGCAAATGCCATTTCTTTTGCAGTCAACCAAGGCCACAAGTGCAACCTGTAAATGGCAAAAGGCCCGCCCCACAGAGGGGACAGGATGCCCCTTCATCCCAACATGATGACTTGATAAAATTTATTTGTGACTGTGAGTGAATTTTAACTGAAATTGATATTTAGCACTTACCAAGCTCATTGTAGAGTGACGGTGTGTTTGACGTCTGAATAATTTGTCTTCAGATTATTTTACTTTTGCATCTAGTGGTAAACAAATTTTTATTTTTTATTTTAGCCTGGAACAAAGTTTCAAGAGAATTTGAACATTTTAATCAAAATGGCTCGGAAACTAGTAAAGGTAATAACCATTTTTCGTTTAACTTGATATGCTCATTCATTGTTATTTTATGTAATTTTGATTGACACATGTGGATGCAGAGCGTAAAGATGTTCTTTACTTTTGTGTAAGGAGTAAATGTGATAAAACTTTCTGTATCATTTATGTGCAGGTGGACCATCGGTGATCTACTATGTAGAACAAGATCCAAATCCACTTTTGAAAGGTATTTGAATCTTCGGATTGCTTCTATTTTATATCCGTTTGCTTGTATTCGAAGCCATTGCTTTTTTAAGGAATAATAGTAAAATAAGTTGCTGTTTATTAGCATAGTATTAATGCCATGTGTATAGAGCAAGTTATTATTTATTAATATTTCTTCAACTTAATAACACATTTCTTCTTGAAAATATCTATATTTTCAATGGATTGAATCATATTTGTTCATTGGTTTTTATTATTTCTTAATATCATAGCATGTTAAATTTACATCTTCCACAATACTTATTTGTATGAAACTTCTTGGAAATATGATGTTCTGAAATATGACACTAGCATAGTGTTAATTATATCTTCTACTTGTAATTAACAAGCATGAGAAAAGTGTGAGATTTCCATTTCATATTTCAACAGGTTCTTAAATTTCTATCTTATTTAATTCAACAACACAAATTACACCATTTTTTCTATAAATATTTGTGTGGGATTGAAATGTTTCAGATGTGGTAATAGTTAAATTGTCAAACAAAGGAAGTTGAAGTAAATCAAAAGGAGCTTTAAATGTGTAGAAGATAAATCTGAAGTTCAGAAAACCATTTGTGCCTCAAATGTGTTTTGAAAATACAAATCTTTCACGTGTGGTTCTAAATATATTCGGGATGAAGTAGTATTTTCTTACTAAGAGAGTTACTTATTTCATTTTATGTTCTTTTTATTTGGCTTTGATATTTCTTCTAAAGCAATCACAACTACGCTGTGGAGTATTTTTTTTTTTTTTTAATCTGAAAAATTTTATAATTTGAAGACATCCAGTTCCTGTATCTTAGAATCACTTGTAATTGTTTCATTACTTAGAGACAAGATTCACAAAATATTTTGCTTTTACATTTTCATTCTCTTACTCATTGTAGATAAATCTGAAAAAAATATTGATAACATATAACATTAATTTTTCCCATTATTATCCAATGACGAGACTGCAGCAATTCAGATTAAAAACAATGATCATATGTGAATTAAAATCCTTTCCAAATTGTTTTGTGAACCTAGTTAGTATTTCAGAAGTAATATTTTTAAAAATTCATCAATTAATTGGAAATCTATGTTAGCACAAAAACCTTGCTGTCTCAAGAAATTCCCTGGCAAGTGGCACTTCCAATTGGAGGGGCACTCAATTTATGGTATTTACCCGAATATCAAACAAATTCTTTCCCAAATATCTCATTCAAAAAAAACAGGTTGTCTTATATTTGCAGATTAAGCCAAGTCGGTTTGGATGTATGTTTTTACATCGCCGTTCCTTGTCACTAAACTCGTAAATGTTGACGTAACAATAAGCCGCGAAGACGTTAAAAATATCGGGCGTATCTGTAATGCCTACGCAATAATATTAGCGGTCGTATTCTCGGCAGCCATCGCAAATTTGCGATTCAGACCGATCTTTTTTAATGGACCTGGAGGGAGTGGAGTGAATCTAGAACGAATGGCACCGTGTCAAGTAAAACGCATCGTGAAAATGAATGAAAAGCATTGCCGAGATTTTGTTGCACAATCCGCATAACGGGATCGACGAAGCCGCGCCGACTCACGGTTCAACGCCCGGCAAATGCGAGTCCGTGTTTTGCAAGAGATGGAAATGAAAAAATTGCTTGGAGGATATTGATGGAAATACGTACGCATTCTTCATCCAACAACAGAAAAGAATGATATACAAATATTTTTATTAGCAAAATGTTCCCGAAATCGGAAACTTGCTACTCTCTCCAACGCCACCCGCGAAACAGAGGAACAGACATGTTAGAGTTAACAGTTCACAGTTCTATCAAACGATGCTGATTTCAAGTATATTCTATTAAAGAATATGAAAGAACTGTTAAAGAATCCGAGGGCACAAATAAGAGTTAGACAAGAACTTCTGGTGACACAAAAAGGGAATGTTCTTAAGTGGCAGCATTTGAAAGACGAAAACGGAAAAATTCAACCCGCAAAACTTTCATAGGAGCCTAAAATGGCAGAGGACGTTGCAGTATAGGACAATCGTCTAATATTAAGAAGATTGCATTGGGAAAGAAATATGTAGTTTCAATAATGAAGGTGTATGATGGGTCTGAAAAAAAGTTACAACATTCCCCTATACCCTGCCTGTATTGAAAGAAAAATATCAAATAGTGTTGCATATACTTGAATTCATCTAGAAGTTTCTGCATTGTAGAATCAGGGTGTTTGATTTCTGGAAAACGTAGGTAAATGGAAATGCAGAAACGAAGAGAAACTACTAGCCACACAAAAATGATATGGATTGAACACTGACAGAACAAAAAAATGACATTGATGTAACATAATGAATAGTAAGATAGCAAGTGACAGTCCTTTCAAGTGCCATTTTTTGTTACCTGCAAAAGTATGTAAAGTCTTTTTGTAGGTAGAATAACAGCAATAATTACTACTTCTGAGGAGGTGATAATGTAAAAGTTATTATTCAGCATAATTAATGATCGATTGTTTGTGTGGTCTGAATTCTTGCATGTTCTTCGCTGCAAATTTATGACGGAAATAGTCTGTGTAACAAGTAGTAATGAAAGATGTCTTTACCAAAACAAAACAATAGGTAAAATCATCTTTCATTACTACATTCATATTCTAATCCTCGCATCAATTAATTAAACCGTATAATATACACAATGCAAAGATGCAAACTATTTACAGATTACCAGTATTGATATGGAACTTGACTTCTATAGCTTATTTCTCAGAGATAAAATTATTATAGTGTATTAAAAAGTTAATTTAGTTTAGGAAAGTTTTTAATGGTGATAAATGTTTGAGCCTTTTTTCGAGTTCCTGATACTGACTAGGGGGAAGAGAAATCTAGCCAGATTAGATGGGAAAAAGTGTCCCCAAGCAAAGATAATATGTTTGGAACAATGATTCTGAATTAAAACTTAATTTCTACGAATTGTAGTTCCCTAACCTAAACCATTTAAACTACCACTACACAGAAAAATGTGTTTTTTAGAATTTAATTTTCTGTTACCTTTTTGCTTGGAGTGTTTTTGAGCAAACAGTTTTTGCTGTTTTAAAAATTCAAAATTTGATTAAAAAGTAACTTGGAAAAAAATTACATTGAAAATATGTTTTAAGTAATTTTGATGTGGTTTTGAGTATCTGAACAATTTTCAAAGTAGAGGATTGAGTTTAAAAAGTTGAATTCATAAAAATTTTCCAAATTGGTGGCAAGTGTAGATAAAATAAATGGTTTCTCAAGTCATATTTTATTAACTAATATGGAGTGTTATCTTGTAGAAATGATATTTTAAAATATTTATTACTGACAACAGATTTGAAGTTGGGTCATAATTGAAAATAGATGATTCAATGGCAATATGAGACAAAAAGAGGTGCCATTATAAAAGCTCTCAGGTGCCCAGAGAAACACACAAGCAAGGAAGAAATGAATACTGCTTGGAGTGTGGTTTCGGAATTTCTAAAATGTGCAAATTTCATTACCTAAATAATATTTTAATAATAATAATAATAATAATAATAATAATTATAATAATAATAATAATTATAATAATAATAATAATTATAATAATAATAATTATAATAATAATAATAATAATAATAATAATTATAATTATAATTATAATATATAATACACTATTAATACTATTAGAGAAGCATAACAGCCCTGTCGGTTCCAACAAGGAATTTTAATATTTGCCCTTTGGGTGTACTGCAGAGGGACACTGAGATATCTGAAGACTGTTGTGTGATGTGCTCCATTTTCCCCTTTAAAAGTCTTAGTGTTTCAGTGAGGCACTGGAAGCATCTGTTAGTTAAGAACTGGTGACCAACACCAGTACTGCTGTAAAAGATGTAGGGCCTCACATTAATAGGAAAACTTTTATAATAATAGTCTTCTTCTTCATCTTCTTAAAAAGTCTAAGACTTGTTCCTTTCCAAGAATTATAACGAGTCTTTCCATCTTCTTCTTGGTCTGCCAACTTCTCTTCTTCCCCTCGGCCTTTCATCCCTAGCAATCCTCGTGATTCTTTTCTCCTCCATTCTCTTAATATGATTGTTCCATTCCTTTCTTTGGTCTGCTACCCATTCCGTAATGAGCTTAACTTTGCACTCTTCCCTGATGTTTCTGTTTCTTTCCTTATCCAGTGGAGTGTGATTTGTAATTTTTCTCAGAACTCTCATTTCGGCAACCTTGAGTTGTTGTTGGATACGTTTTGTTTTGTGTCTTGTTTCTCCTGCATATGTTGATATTGGTCCAATTATTGATTGATATATTCTAACCTTTGAGTCCTGTTTTAGATGTTTATTACACCATATTGAGTAGTTGAGACAGCCAGCGATCCTATTACCTTTTATTATTTGTTCTTTTATTTCTTTTTCCATGTGTCCTGAGCTTGTTCAACCAAATACTTCATTTTTAGAACTTGTTCTATGATTTGATTATTCACTACCAATTTACACCTAATCGGATTCTTAGCAATTGTCATAGCTTTCATCTTCTGGGTGGATATTTGTAAATTAAAATTCTTACAAAGTTCACTGAACTCGTACTGTAATTGTTGTAAGTCATCTTCATTTTCTGCTATTAACAATGTGTCGTCTGCGTAACATTATATATAACATTTATATTATATTTTCCCATACTATATCCTTTTCTCGATTTTAGTTGTTTTATAATTTTATTCATTATTACATTAAATATCAATGAATCCCCTTGTCTTATTCCTTTGTAGATATTCGTAAATTAAAATTCTTACAAAGTTTACTGAACTCGTGCATGGGATTTGATGTCTTGATGTTTTATTGTAGAGATTCTTAAGTTCCTGACAGTGGTGTAAAATGGTTAAGAAATTCTTGGGACAGTTTATGTAATTTACAATCAAATTAAGAATTAAAGAAGTTCATATGTGATGGCTAGTACAAATGGAAATTCGGAAACACAAGATATAAATTATAAAGTCATGAATCATGGTAAGAAACATTTAAAA